TATTGTTTAATAACTATATATCGCGTTATGCTTTATCTTATCAATCTTATCTTTAAAATTGGGTTTTAAAGGGATATTCTCTGGAAACGTATGATTGAAACCAAATTGATTATGAATATAAAAATGTTATGTTCAAAACTTTAGCTCGCCATAGACTGGTAAAACCTCTCACTATCTGCGTCAGAGCTTCGCCGCTTGTGGACTGGAGTCAATGAAATGATTTCTTTCATCAAGAGGAGATCCGAGACGTTTAGGTTCACAGGTTATCAAATGTGTGATTTCTGAATTTGTCGAAGTCCTATCCACTAGAAAACATGAAAAGAGTTTTTATAATGCTTAATTATTTAGTGATTTATGTGTGCCTCTGGTAATTTTGATCACATTATTTGGCGATAGAGACAACCGATTTCTCAATAAGTTTCATGATCCCCTGGATTCTTTGCTGAAGTGTTTATTCATCTAATTTGACCAAAAACTTGATTTTGTGATAAAAGCTTGTTCTTCCTGTACTACGACATTGTCAATGGGTTCTTTATGGCAAGCAAGTCAAAACTGCAATTTTTTAATGGCCTCGTCACACCAGAAAGACGTTCTTACTGCTGCTATTGCGATGACAAAAAAAAACTGGCCCAGGGTGTGTTAAGTTCGCTGAAGGCGTGGAATAAGCGCGTAGGACACGTTAGATTTGGCGCCATTGTCGCCACTATTTGCCGAGTCACGGCCAAAACAAATAATATTTTAAGGGACCTTTACTCTAGTTTTCCTCATGTTTGACCGCGACTAAATTTTATAGCAATTGGTCGCAGTCCGGTGTGACGGGGCTATAACCGGCCCATGGCTTTCATGTAAAGTAGGTTCATACTGTAGATACATGGAAATAATGCTACATAACTTAATTCGTTCGGAAGATGTTCAGTTATTAAATTTACAGAAGGGAATAGTAAGATTCCCTAGAATGGGATTTCATTTGTAATTTGTTTGTTTAAAATTAAAGCGTTATAAACCATTGTTATCGAGTATTCTAAACGACAGTAATGTGTTCTTTCTTTGTTTTTAATAGGGTTAAGTGGTTTTCTTTTATTTTTTTTTATTTTGATGTAAACTAATACAATACACTCATTGGCATCATTATTAATCATTAGGCGAGTAGGGGCAAAAGAAATTCCAACGCAGACAAAGGAAATTCCGTAACTCAGTATAATGACTAGAAATTCCAAAGTGAGGGGCCTAAGCCGGGTCAGAAGCGCCACGTATGTGTAATGGTTATCGCCCTTATTCGCGAGCTTGTTCTTAGGCCCATTTACAGAAACGAAATTGTATAAAAATTGTCGTTCTGATACGAAAATCTGGATTTATATATGCTTCTTTACTGTCGTGACCCCGAAGTTAAACTAAACTATTGATGATTGAATATCGGAGAAACCTGATATTTTCACGTATATTTCTATTCCTGTCTTCAAAATGTTGGACTGATCAGAACTTATGACTCAAGATTAAAAAAATAAGCGTTTTCATTCGTCATTTTAATTATCACTTTTGAAAATAAGGAACCGGAAACAGACTGTAGATGCACTATTATCGAATAGATATTTTCCTTGTCATTTCCTGTGTTTTTGTATCAAGGAATGGATCTCGCAATAAATGTTGATTATTACTTTGAATTGATATAAATAATTAAACCTCGTCAATTTCCGGAAGAATCTTTATTTCCAGCGAGCTAACAAGTCTGGAAATTTTAAAACGATCGTAAAATAGATGAGATTCTGTACTTTTACTTATAAAGCCGTGTTAAATCTCCAGTGTTTTTCAGTTCGATTTTTTAAGTATTGATATGTCTTATTCGATAAGCCCTGTAAGATGGTGTTTGTGGAAGGAGTCAACTCTCGCAGCGTTTATTCAGTAACGACATGGTCATTGTTTATATGGTTAGCAGTCATTTGGGTACAAATATTTTCTAGCACAAAACAGTTTCTTCATCACACTGTTCCTTTCCCTTTTAAGGCAATGGGTCATTTACAGCAGGCAAAATAGAAAAAAAGAGGTCAAAAGTGAAAGGGTAGTTCTGCAAGTGGACGCTAGAATCGCGATTTAAACGACGGAAAGTGTGCGCTTACTACAAGTACAGCGTCCGAAAAACTTAACGTGGGTAAGGGGTCATTCCAACAAAAACCATGAAATTTTGGCACATTTTTGATCAGTTTTGGCAGAAAAATATGATTGTGTTTCCAATTATTACAAACATTATTAGCAGTCTTATTAGGTGGTTCGGAGGATTGAGAATGTCTTGCCCAGCTTGAACTCTGTAGCGTCAACCACTGCCAGAAATTTCAGAAGAAAAGTGTGTCTGTCATAGGGTTGAATTGTGTTCGGCTTCATGGAAATGGAAGAATTTTTAAAATTCTACCTCAACAATAAAAACATTTCGTAAAATAACATGTGAAAATGGACTCATAAATATGGCTAGTAGATGTCTTTTCAGGTGATAAATACTAATATTACTGCTCTGGGTTTCATTTGAACTAATTACGTCTATGCATTTTAACAGCTATTCTGTGATCTTGCTGGTATTAAATCAATAAGAGATTTATTCAAGTTCACCAGACCGTAACTCGTCGATATCCCGTTTTGCATCACATCTGGTGATGACTGACGAAGGCGTTCAAACTATCTTCTAAGATGTAAACAGGTTACTATCTTGAAAATTATAATACCATGCCTTGTATGGAATCAATTTCATGATCTGAGCTTTAATGGATTATCAGATATATTTCAATGATTTCACTAGTTTAAATCAATATAAGGCTATTGACACGAGTTGTGGTTTGATAAAAAAAAAATCAACACAAACCACCGTGGGCGATTTTCATTTCTTTCTCGGGTCTAGTGGACATAGTGAAGTACAATGATGATTTAAGAATGTTCCTCTTCAAGCTTTTTATACAGTCGGAAACGGATCTTTACCTAGATAAGATCGATGAAGTTATTTTCAAGTGTCTTTTTCAAGTAAGAAATTGTTTTAGAATTATTTATAAATCGTAGAAAATACTCTACTTAATGTTCAATGTAATTGTTTATCCGGTTAACTTTTTTTTCGTATTGCAAGATCTGGGTGAAAGTCAACAAAAAGCTTTTCCGCAGCCATCCTCTCATGGGTATTAAATTGTTTTCATGAATTGGTCAAGCAAATTTTCAGAAAGCTTCTTGTATACCCTGTCATAATCACTTTACAAAACGTCTTTCTCGAAATGATCTGTATCCAGTTCTCGAATGGAACCATAGCGTAATATTTTTTTTATCTAAAGTAGGGTCATCGTGAAGGTTCTTTTCCAAACTCTTTCAAAAAATGAATAATTCTCGGAATTTTGTCAAAAAATCTTTCGGCAAGGAAACAAGTTGTTTATGACGTGAATTGAGTAAAACTTATAATCAAGTCACACAATTTCTATCATTATCACATCTTGAATACAATCACTTGCATAGTTAACACATTCATTGGAAAATCGTAAAAAGGGTTTGTATTTGTCAAAAAAGCAAGTTTAGTTGTAATTATGACAATTCTAACATATAAAATGTCGATTTTATCCACAACATTTTCGACATTATTTCTACTGAATTGGCAAACATTAACCATTTGTTTTAGCTTGCGGCACAGGTGGCTTGGTCCATGAGTAAAGATTAACTAACGGTTCTGTATTTGAAAGCAGATTAGGAAAGCATTTACTACCTAACATTAGTATTCTGATATAAATGTCTATGCACCCGGAAGTGACACGTTTTCTCAAGTCTGAAGGCTGCTTGTCATACGATTTGTCTCTTTTCTGCTTGGAAAGCATAGACATTTTTATTTTGTTTGATCAATCAGTTCACCATTCAATGTATAATGCCTACAAAGTCGATAAGTAGATGTCTCACACCCCAAAAACTCTCTGAAATGTGCTTGACGTTGTGAAGCTGAATGTAAGAAGCAACCTGTTGCCTTGTCGTGGACAACTCTAAACAAGTGATTGATTGTGTCACACGGTTGCCATGTTCTATAATTAAATCATGCAGAAGATGCTTTACTTTGCACTAATGTAATTTCAGAAACAATTGACTGTTCGTGACAGTCGTGACAATCTTGTTTATTTAGAGATGTTATGTGAAGAGATAATAAATCTTCAATTTTTTCTTGTAGACGATTACAGATTTTTGTTAAATATTTTCTAGAATGTCACAAACGCTAGTTAAATTATATTATTAACGACTTAAAAGGAATGTCTGGAAAAAATTTCGACTTTGAGGGCGTAATTGGCAATACTGTTGTTTATTATATTTTCTTATTTATTTAATCATTGAAGCAAAATATTATAATAAGATGTTTAATCATTAATTCTAACTTTTAATGAATGAAACAAACATGTCACTAATTCTATTAATTTCTTGAAAGACATTTTCGAACTTTGAACTATTCAGCGACTTCTTTGCTTTACATACTTAATTATAGTGTCGAGTAATTAGTATGCGAATGGAAATGAAATGAAAAATTAACAGGTGATTACAATGAAACTCCAGAGAAGAATGCTTGTAATGAACTACTTTGCATTATTGAGAAAATATTCGAAATGCTTAGAATAAACTATGAATTTGAAATTGGAAGCACTGAATGGAACAGACCGGACATCGTCGATTATTGTACTCATCCGAGAAATAACTTATAAAGTGAATACTAGGCGCTCTATCAGTCTCATTCAATTTGTTTTTAGATCTATCAAATTGACAGTTATTACATGTTTCTTTTGTTATTAATTCTATATTGCTTGTATATTTGTTTCTGATTAATTATGTTTGTATGTATATTGCTAAATGCAAGAAAGGCTTTTTAGCTTAATATGATTATTATAAGTATTATTCTGTCCAGTATGAGATCTACAAGGTTAATAATCAATACGTTTTAGCACTTTCCTAGCGTTACCTTCTAGTACGTTTTTCGTCTCAGTACCAATGATGTTGTTAAATCCCATTTATCTATGGTTATGCATTGAACCACATCGAGAAACACCGTGTGGTAATGTCCCCTGTATAAGAATATCGTGGTTATGTATTGAACCACATAGAGACATACCGTGTGGTAATGTCCCCTGTATAAGAATATCGTGGTTATGTATTGAACCATATGAAGACATACCGTGTGGTAATGTCCCCTGTATAAGAATATCGTGGTTATGTATTGAACCACATTGAGACACACCGTGTGGTAATGCCCCCTGTATAAGAATATCGTGGTTATGTATTGAACCACATCGAGAAACACCGTGTGGTAATGTCCCCTGTAGAAGAATGTCGTGGTTATGTATTGAACCACATTGAGATATACCGTGTGGTAATGTCCCCTGTATAAGAATGTCGTGGTTATGTATTGAACCACATAGAGACATACCGTGTGGTAATCTACCCTGTATAAGAATGTCGTGGTTATGTATTGAACCATATGAAGACATACCGTGTGGTAATCTACCCTGTATAAGAATGTCGTGGTTATGTATTGAACCACATCGAGACATACCGTGTGGTAATGTCCCCTGTATAAGAATGTCGTGGTTATGTATTGAACCACATTGAGATATACCGTGTGGTAATGTCCCCTGTATAAGAATGTCGTGGTTACGTATTAGTATTCCTTCTAGTAAGTTTTTCGTCTCAGTACCAATTTATCTATTTCAGGTGCTGTTAATACAATGAAGTAAAAGATATGGATATTATTGATAAAAGTTTTACATTCATCTGACTTATTCATCAACAGGTAGGCGATAATATTTTCATGAAAATACAAAGAAAAAGACGAAAGCATTTCATCATTCTTCAACGAACAATTGAACAAAAAGTACTAGCTACAAATTTATTCTCTGTTTTGTACAAGTGTGTTTTCGTGCTCCAATCTCATTAAAAAAGTTTCGTTAAAATTCAAGCAACTGCAGTCTATTGTTCTTGTACTCTTTAATTTAATTCCATATACATATAGCGAGGGATTTACAATCAGTATTTCTCACACTGCGCTTGTATGTATAACCTTAAATCGAAACGATAAGAAATCGTCTGACTGTTATCTTTCTAATATACGCTTGGTTTATCACATGACGTGGCATTCATATTGCTTGGTAGTTTATTTGCAGTTTGGTCAATTTGATACCAGCAGTTCCCATCAGGTTCGCTGTTTGACTATCCCTTATAATTAAATGATAGAAGAGATTAACACTGTTTTATATGAATTTATTGTTTAGCTTAGTTCCCAGCGACAATACTTTAAAAGAATAGACGAAGAGCATTGTAATTGGCTTCAACCAAACTCCTTCACTACTGATTTAACATTGATCGCCACCTACTGTTCTTTACGAGTGTATACGTGTTAACATCGCAGACAACATATCAACGTAAATGTCACTCGCCTATAGATATTAAACTTTTTTAAACCCAGACCTTTAGAGTAAATTTATATAAAAAAAAGACACATAACCCGCCACGGACTAAGTTTAAAATCATCGAGGTCCCTTTTAAAAACTTTTACGCGATGCTGTATTATGTAAAAAATGTCACTTATGCCATATTGCATCTTCAGGTGTTAGTCTCGACATTTTTTTTTTTTCATTTTTTTTTTTTTTTTGTCTAAAAGTGATTTAATGAATAAACACGGAAAAAGGATTTGGTGTGTCAGCACAACTTGGATGTCTATATAGTTTTCACTGACTTTGTACCAGAGCCACTTCTAGTAAGAAATGTTATAAGATATAGCAGGTGTATCTCAAGAATGAGGAAGTCGTTTCTCTTTTTTTCATGATTGTAGGTCAAAGTTATGTGGAAATATTTCCCCCAAGAGAATTATCACGTCAGGCTTTCGAGACATTAAATTCCTAGGAAGTTTATATTTATGTTGTTCCTAAGTGATTTTTATTTAATTACTAAGTTAAGTGGCGGAAGAAGGTTGGAGTTGAGCAACCTTTTTAATTGAGCACCAAGTGTTCTTGTACAGTGCAACTGATGCACTCTCGGCTTGAGTCGTTCGTGACATACAGTGTGGTAATGTCCCCTGTATAAGAATGTCGTGGTTATGTATTGAACCACATTGAGACATACAGTGTGGTAATGTCCCCTGTGTAAGAATATCGTGGTTATGTATTGAACCACATTGAGACATACAGTGTGGTAATGTCCCCTGTGTAAGAATATCGTGGTTATGTATTGAACCACATTGTGACATACAGTGTGGTAATGTCCCCTGTGTAAGAATATCGTGGTTATGTATTGAACCACATTGAGACATACAGTGTGGTAATGTCCCCTGTGTAAGAATATCGTGGTTATGTATTGAACCACATCGAGATATACCGTGTGGTAATGTCCCCTGTATAAGAATGTCGTGGTTATGCATTGAACAACATCGAGACACACCGTGTGGTAATCTACCCTGTATAAGAATATTGTGGTTATGTATTGAACCACATCGAGACACACCGTGTGGTACTGTCCCCTGTATAAGAATGTCGTGGTTATGTATTGAACCACATCGAGATACACCGTGTGGTAATGTCCCCTGTATAAGAATATCGTGGTTATGTATTGAACCACATTGAGACATACCGTGTGGTAATGTCCCCTGTATAAGAATATCGTGGTTATGTATTGAACCACATTGAGACATACCGTGTGGTAATGTCCCCTGTATAAGAATATCGTGGTTATGTATGTGTGATGGGTGGAAAAGTCGTACCGAAGCCCGTAGAAAGCCATTGCGGGATTGCGATCAAGAAGTAAAATTTGTCTACTAATTTGTAAGCGACATTCTCAACAGAATTCTTATAAAAAACTCCATCTTGCTCTGTCGCTATTCGTTTCGTTAATTCCATTCTAAATGGCATTGAGGGTTTGAATTAGACAGGTGATGAAATGTCGGACCTAAAACCCGTTCATTTCATTGACATAGCGTTGTTTTGTTAAGTTTGTGCGAAGTTGTTGGTTGATTGTGAAATATTTTAATTTATTGAAGTCTTATAAAACAAAATTTGTTGACGAGAAGCAAATGTTACGAAGTAAACAAAATAATATGATTTATCTCAACAATAGAAAAATCGCAGTTTGGAAGAAGTCGAAAATGGCTTTATTTTATCCTACTACACAAACTTGTTTGTTTAGTTTTGTGTTATTTAGGAACAATTTTTGATGGTTGATTGTAATAAATGATTTATTGGAGACTTATACAACACAGTTTATTCGTGAGTAGCGAGT